TGGCAGAAATTCTAATTAAAAGCTTTGGAACTTGAAAGACTGCGTTAATAATTACACCTACCTGTCCCCAGAATCTACATGATGGCTTTCAAGGTGTGATCCCTGCGTTACAGGAATGCCACTGCTTTGGAGCTTAGGAGAAACATCAGGCCCCCAGACCTGCTGAACGACACAATCCAGACAGAGGGCAGCCACCTAAGCCTCAAGCCCTCCAGGGGACGTGAGAACCACCAGTCTATGTGTTTCATATTAAGCTTAAAGTTAAGTATTAAATGATCATCATTTTGAAAAGTCCAAAATGTAGAGTGTTTATAATATTTTAATGACCACAGATAAATCAAAGACATATTAATTCATTTCTTCACTGGCCTAAAGCACAACAACATTCCACCCAAACCTGACAAAATGTTTAATATGTACCCTGATCATACTGTGTAAAAATAGCACAGTTGATCCTCCCTATGCCTGAGTTCCACATCCAGGGATTCAACAAACTGTAAGCTGAAATATTCAGGAAATCAAAATTGTATCTCTATTGAACATGTACAGACTTGTTCTTGTCTTTATTCCCTAAACGTCTATGCACATAGCCTTTATCTTACATTAGGCAGCTTAAGTATTTAAAGTACATAGAAGGATATGCATCATTCTACATCAATATGCAAAAGCTATGCAATTTTAACATATGGAATTTGAACATCCTCCTTGGACTTGAGGATCCACGAAGGGTCCTGGAGCAAAAGCCCTGGCTAATGCCCAGGGATGAAGGATGAGCCTCTCTAGGAACTGAGTTAAATTCAAAATATACAGCAGGCACAGAGATCTACACTGACTCTTCAAAAGTTAAATCAGAAGCCATATATGGAAAGGAAAAAGCTATTCTGATTATGGGCCATAGAAGCTTGATAAATCTTGGGCCATAACTCTATAATCCTTTTTTATCCTGGGCTTCACTCCAAATTTTTACACCATTTCAACAAACCTACGGTTGCCAAAAATAGAAATTACAACCTTCAGAAGTACTGGATTCTGGGGATCAAATTGCTTTAAGTACACAAGCTAATCAACACCTACTTATACGTCAGACAGTATTATAGTATACAGACTGGCAAAGATACTAATAGGGTCCCTGCCCTCACTCCAGTGCTTTACAACTACCTCATCCTTCTCTCTTCAAAGCTGTGTCATGTCCAAGAAAACCATGTCCTCTACTCATCTTCAATTTAAGCAATAGCTGTGTATGTGTTCAAGTTTGCTTATTGCCAATTAGGCTAAGAAAGAAAGAAAGAAAGAAAGAAAGAAAGAAAGAAAGAAAGAAAGAAAGAAAGAAAGAAAGAAAGAAAGAAAGAAAGAAAGAAAGAGAGATATATTTAAGCACCTACCATAAGCCTAATATACTGGACGACTAAAGAGTATTCAGTCCAAGTCTGGACTACAAGAATCTGTAAATCTGACTTAAAATGCCCACTGATCTGAGGAAGGGTGTTCCAAGGTCAGGTGAGCTCTGGGATGCTGGCATGGGCATCTTTTCATCTGACTGGTCTCTTATAACCAGAACCTTTCACTGTCCACACACACTCAAGGGCTGGCAGCCCTGCCAAAAACCATCCTACTGGAAGGAACAGATTCAGTTTATCTCCCTCCTGCCAAGTCACCACTCAATCCCCTGAGAACCAGACAGGCTTCCAAGAAAATTATCACTGCTTATTTCCTCAGCCAGAGTTCAGGGCCACTGAACTAACCCTACACACCAACTACCTAAAAAGACCTTTTCTGTTCAATTCCTATCTTATATTTTTAAAATCCAGCATTTTCTTCAAAATACCTAGAAAATGTAACCATCACAAGTTCTCTACCAACACTACCACTTCTGTACCTCATACAGATATTTTTTTAATCAAAGCCAACAGCTGTTTTCTCATCTCCCTCTGTAATAATCAATAAATGTAATTCATTAGTGAGAAGGACAACCAATAGCACCCACCATCAGAAAAAGAATACCCAGCTGGGGAGATAGTTCAGTGGCATAAGCACCTGCCTGGAAAGTGCAAGGTCTAGAGCTTGGTCCCCAGTACAAAAAAAAAAAAAAAAAGGAAGAACAAAGAAGGAAGAAGAGAGAGGTAGAGGAAGAGGAGGAGGAGGAAGAGGTGAAGGAAGAGGAGAAGGAGAAGAGTAAGAAAAGACTAATAGAGAATATCTTGCTATCTTAAGCAAGACAAGCTGGTAATAATGTTCTTCTAAAAGAATAGACAAATGTATTAAACGTGCATTCAAGAAAAAAGCTTTCACATGCATGGGGCAGTTATTTAACCATCTATGCATATCTGGCATCAAATAATCTTGCTACACACACCAGTTTACCAGTTCTATCAAAGAATCAGTACCCTAAGAGAGCAAAGCACAAGGCTAGGCTCAAATAGCTCACATAAGATTTAAACAAAACACAAGTCAACTAACAACAAAAAAGTTCAAATATACATAAAAAGGACCAATATATTTACACTCTAGTCTGGATTCCACAGCCACAAGGAGAAGCAGAAAGCTTTATAGTAGAGGTTACTTATGAAGTCACTAGCAATTGTCTTCACTTTAAGTCACCCTGTCCTTCCAAATCATCTCATTTCATAAAATTCCCTAAAATCAATCATTGCTAAGACAGAAACAGTTACAATACAGCTGTCTCTATGTCAGTTAAATGTTTATGACAATTTTAAACATTTATTTGAAATCTCCAGTAACAGTACCTAATGCACCATCTAGTGGAAGTCATGGAACATTCTAATTAATTAATTTTTTTTAAATACAAAAATCTAGGAAACCATGAAAAGTTGAAGAGGTGGCTCAGGTAAAAGCACAGGCAAACACAAAAAGCCACACCCTATTTCCAGTTTCTCACACTGCAGGAGGGCTGGGCACATCAGAAAGAAGCACTCATTTTCCTTACAAATCAACGGACAAAAACCATTTTGCTATGGAAATTTTTGCCTGAGTGCCAGAAGATTTAAACTGACTAGAGAGTAAGTTAAGGTTAGGCACCAAGCATAAATAAGTGCAGAGCACTAAACACAAATACACTGGTAGGCCTGGTGTGAGGAGTGCCTTGTGTGTTACACAAGTATGGTATGTCACATCCCTATAGCATGCTACAGCTGTCTTATCCACAAAACCAAGAACTATACACTTCATGACAAGAATAATTCAATAACTCACAAGACATTCCTATGTCACCCCAAAACTACGCTTTTTAAAAACCTAACAATTCTCTAGAGTTCATTACAGGTTACTTCCACACACCTAAGCTTTCTCCTTTCAGTTACTCCCATTAAGAAATTACTGTTATGTTTTCAACTCTTCTATCAACTGACAGTAAAGATCTCCCTAAAGTCATAAGCCACCACAAAAATGCATCACACTGTTCTTGCATTTGCCTTATGCACATCATTTCGTTCCAATTCACAAACAGTACAGTACTGAAGTCACTAAGCTAGAAATGCAATTAATAAGGTTCTTTAGGGGCCGGGGAGATGGCTCAGTGGAATAACTGCTTCCCAGGCAAGCACAAGGGCCTGAGTTCAATCCCTGGTTTTGCAAATAAATAAATAAGGTTCTTTAGCAGGGAAAGCTCCCCATCCAAATTTTAAAATGAACATTCTCACATAGCACTACCAAGTTTTGTTTTTGTTTTCTCTGTGTGGTAAATGACCTTTCTGGTGAAACTGACACTATCTTAGCAACTTGGGGGCCGGGGATATAGCTCGGTGGCATAAGCACCTGCCTGGTAATTGCAAGGTCCTTAGCAACTTGGAAAAAAGAAAAAGAAAACTAAAACACACTATTTATTTAAAAATAAGCAAAATAAGCATCTCCATCTTTTACTCCTCATACCTGTGATAGAATCAATATTCACAAGCTTGCTTGATGGTAGGAATCTTACCTAGATCTCAGATTCAAATCTAGCTATAATGTAAAGTAGGAGGCAAGTTCTGTGGCATTCAATTCCTCTCATCTCGAGAGTTTGCTGTTGATATACCCCCGAAATGTGTATGCTATGCACAACCTACCTCAGGAGAATGGGTGGCATTTATAAACTTGACAGAGCGCTCTGAGCAGTTAGTTAAGTGAAAACCCTAATTCCATTCCTAAACAGAAATACTGTTTTGTAGACAAGAGCTATCACTGCACCGTTCCTGCTAAGACTGTGTGACCCTAACCATTTCGCTTGCGAACAAATGGTGTATATACCAAGCAGTTCAAAGCGCAGGTAACAGCATTCCCGGGTGCTTTTTAAGTAAGTGCATCCAGCCGCTTAGGACCTGTCTGAAAAGTACTATATTACTGCACAAATGGCAGGTGAATTCTTTAAACCTCAAGTCCAGAGACTGCTTTAAGAAGGGCTTTCTTTCTTTTTAATTTGAACGCTGTGGTTAATAATCAGAAAAGGGGGGAAAAAAAACCAGTAAAGAATCACAATTCGACTCCCACCCACAGCAGTGACAGCACCCAGGTGCCACCCCCACAGCTTCCAGACCCGCACAGACCTTCGTTCCTGGGAACACTCCACCTCCGCACCCCACCCCAGACCAAGGTGAGTCACACTGCTGGATCTGACAAGCAGTCACTTCAGAAAAAGCCCCCCGACAAGTTCGCGTGAAAGGCCAAGCTCCTTTCGCGCTGAAAACAACACACGGATGGGAACGAGCGTGACCGTGCGCGTTGCCCCGCCGAGCGCCCGGCTCTGGACACAACCCGCGGGAGTCGCCTCGCTGGCTGCGCTGGGGCTCCCCAGTTCCGAGCTTCGATCGGCAACGCCTGCTCCCCGGAGTCCCCCCCAGCCCCGCCGAGCCCCGACCTAGCGGGGGCCCCCATGCCCAGCTGCCCTAGCGCAAGGTGTCCCGCGGACTCCGGGCCGAGGCGCCTCGAGGCCGCGGAAGCCTCGGGTTACCACGGCCCAGCCCGGGCGTCCCGGCAGGGGCAGCAGCCCGCGCCCCGCGCCCTCTTACCTGCTCGGAGCGCAGCGGGAGGTGAGCCGGCTCCAGCCCTGCAGCCCCGGGCGTACAGGCAGGCGACAGCGACCGCGACGCGGCCAAGGACAATCGGGAACCGGCGGGTACGACTCCGCAGCGGCGAGCACACGACGCACGAGCCCCAGGGAACCCGGCCCCCACTCAAACGCCCGCGAGGGAGGATTCGGTCCCGCCCCTCGGAGGGCGGGGACAGCAGTGGGGCGTGGCCTGCTCTACCAACGTCTCATGAGAGGCACCTACGGATTGGCTGGGAAAGGAGAGGGCGTGCCAAACTCGAAGACTACCTCTTCAATACAACTCTTTCATTGGCCAGGAAGGGAAAACAAAGCAGAGCTTGGATTGGTGACACCCGGTTGTAGCTCCTCCTCCTTACACCCCCCCACACACACACAATACTATCAAGCTCCGCCCCTGTCCACCGGTTCTCTGGCTTTGGGCTCCGCAGTCCCAGGTGGCTGCGCTTCCCGGGTCCTCACTGGAAAGAGCTAGACCGCAGCTTCCTCTGTGGATGCGCCTTCCTACCTGCAGCTCTTCGGTTTTTACATGAACCTGGTGAAAAGACCTGATTTTTAACACCAAGTTGATTTAGACAGGACTAGTAGGCACGTTGATGCTAAATAACATTCAGAAGGGCATTGGCCAAGGAGAAGAAAAGGCATGAAACCTGGCCAGGACAAACTTGAGGATGTTCAGGGAATTGATTCTTCCACAATAGAAGGAAATACAGTAAATACATTTGACATCTGTGCGCCATCAAAAAACAAGCCTTGGTACCAACCTGCTTCAGCTCAAAAAAACCTCACAAATGTGGTTGCGGCACCTACCTGTCCTTCCTGATCAACTGCCGTTTATGCAACTCGTGATGTAGCTAACAGAGCACTTACAACGGATTAATACAGGAAAACACCCTGGAGAAGAGCTTAGCATCTAACATACAAAATGAAGCTGGGGAGAGGGAGGGAGGGAGGGAGGGAGGGAGGGAGAGAGAGAGAGAGAGAGAGAGAGAGAGAGAGAGAGAGAGAGATTTTTCAGATGGTATCAATCAGAAAGCTCAGCTAACAGATGGACTCTTAGAAAAGGTGACAGGTGACCGAAGATACTTCATGATGTGACCTAGACGTTATCATTAAAGATAGGGAGGAGGGAGTAGACATAGGGACCAGTGACCTAGAGTTAAGGTGACCTGAACTCTCAGACCACTTCAGCCTGTCCTGATGTGGTCCTGGGACCACTCTAGTGAATCTCCCCAGCCTGCCCTTCTAGCTTTATTCGCCAATCCTGTGATGTCTAAAACGAGATGTGAAATAAAGCACTCCCTCCAATTCCATGAGGTGCATAATAATGAAAAAATGGACATTGACAGATACCAAGCTGAGGGGAAAAAAGAACGTTAAGATAAATACAAAAAAAAAAATGAGGGGCTAAAAAAAAATTCAAAGAATAGAAGTCCTTTTCTTTTCTCCATTTCCTCAGAAAAAAAAATAAAGCTCTTTGAAGGATACAGTAACTTCATGACCCAACAGTTTTACAGAACCTCTGTAATAAATGAAATCAAACAATAATCTGAAAAATATGTATCCTGGAGTAAGCACTCTATCAAGTGCTAGTTATTTTTAAATTATATAAGAAATAAAAAGAGGAATTTAGCATTGTCTAATAGGAATACATAAAACACAATCCAATTTTTTCTACAATAATGCCTGACGTGCCTCCATTCTTCGGATTAAATAACTTAACCATTAATATTTAAATAATTTATCAGATGATTCTTTTATTCACTGACTCATCAAACATCATCAATATTAGCCATGTAACACTAAGCACTCAGAGTATATCCCTGAACAGGATAGATAACAATGAATAAGACTCCTGGTTGACAGTACTCACCTTATTTGACTGGATTCAAGTACGACGGAAGTTCTTGGAGTAGAGTTCTGTTCTGTTTCCCAGCTTTTCCTGCCACTTTTGGCGTGGCTCTCCTTTTCAGTTGCCCTGGCAGATGAAAGAGCCTGAGCCTGGCCAATAACTAAAGCTCACTCCTCCTCTCTTGAATGTGTCCAAATGTTCTTAGAGATCTTTTCCTGGAATCTGACTATTTCTTCTGGTTCCCTGCAGGCCACTTTGTATAGATTCTCTTGAAGGAGGAAAGGCAGAATGTTCCTTGGACTCTCCAGGGATTCCTCTGAGGCAGCAATTAAACATCTCCAGCCCAAATCTCTCCAGTGAATGACTCTCATCAGATCCTCAAGAAACACACATACTTTACTCCCAATCCAAAAGGGCAAATATGCACGGTATAAACTGGTGTTCAGCATTCTCATCCCTCATTCTCGTCCCTCTTGCTTCACCCTTCAACCTTGACTTGAGGCATGTCAGGCCCATGTCAAACGTCTCAAATATGTGTAGCAGAGTACATGAGGCACTTGGCATTTATGGTCCTGCTAAAGGCTCCCTGCAGTAAGATTAGGGACAAGATCTTCAAAGACTGCTTCCTGGGCTCAAGTATTACTTTCTTCAAAGAAAAACTTCATAGATCCTTTCCCAAATTTTTCACTGCCTTGGGTGATCCTATTTTGAGTGCAAGGTTTTCAAGTGATCAAATTTTTGTTGCAAATTTGCTTCTTGCTGTATCAGCTTACTTTAGGTTTCACATCTATGATCACTTGCAACCTCTGTCAAAAAGTTACTTACATCTTGTTATGCTAATACAAATCTGTAGAAATGGCTCTCATTAGTGAGCACCAAGGACACAAGGCAAAGAAAACTCATTCTCTGCAAGCATACTGTTAGCAACTTTGCTGTTTGATTATGAAGAATGAAACACTCTCCTGTCCATGGAACTCTTGACACATGAAAACAGCCTCGAGTTCCAACTCAGTTCAAGGCTTTGCACTGCATCATGTTTATGTTAGCTTAATAATTTGCAACAGAAACAGGATCCTGAATTTATCTTTTTGTCCAGATCTCATGTTAATAAAAGTATAACTAATTGTTAATAAAATGTTACAGGCTTATTTAGATTTGAGTCTATCAAAAGACCATTCCCTTCAAATTGCACCCAAACTCCATCCCTTACCCAAACCCTACAAGAATTTTATCATTCCCTTTGTTTTCCAAGGCTTTCTCAGGGTCCTTACAGTGTGCTTTGTAGCGAGCTCATAAACCCAACACAGTCAGACTGCAGGTTTGTTTCTGCCAAAGTCCAGATGTTGGATGGCATCAGTAACAAGCAGAAGTTCGGAGCATGGGTTACTCCTCCCAGATTCCGTTTCCAACTCTTCCTCCCCTCTACCTCAAGTCACACAAATTCAGCACCACCCATGACTGTGCCATCGACAGAGTCACCCAGAATCCTGCAGTTACAACCACCTAAAACCTATGCATGTGCAAGAACAGAAATGTCTGTAGCTTGCAACAAAAGAGGAAACCGGTAATTTCCATATACTATTTTTGCCAGGATATTTAAGTTACCCAAAAGACTTTTTCAAATTACAGAAGTTAAGATACAATATAATCCTGCCTACTGTTCTGTCTCCATAGACCCATTCCTGGCTCTACCTTCTCACAGCAATGATCCTGATAATGAGGGCAGAATACAATCTGATAATCAAATTCTCAGTTGCTGAGTACACTCTTAACTAAAAATACCAGCTTGATCTTGTTTGAAAGTGAAGGAAGCTGTCCCCCTGATAGAGATGCTTTGTCTGATTTATTCACAGCTTTATCCCTAGAGGTCTGATGCATCAGAAATACCCAGTGAACATCTGCTGAGCTCTTTCACTTGGAATGTACCCACCCATTGCACCTGAGCAAGAAGCGTTCATCTGTGCTGCAGCAAAGCCTTGGTTTGCAAGCCTAATTCATTCAGGATACATGCTTGTAATCCACAGTACTTGTATACTGAAATGAATTTTTGCACAAGAAATAACGAAAACTCAAATGATTCATTGCAAAACCCAAAAATAGTCATATAAAAAGGATTACAAGGGGCCTGGCCCTAGCTCAGTTCTTTAAGTGGCAGCTTCTGCAAAGCTATCAGCCTCAGGTTGCTGGAGTTGGATCCCCACAACACTCCAGCCAGCCAAACAACCCCTCAGGGCATTCGGAGCCAAAAAAAGAACAAAGGCAGTAAAAAAGGAGAAAACTTTTTTTTTCAACAAATGTAATATAATATGTTAAAGAAAATGCAAAATATAAAGAAACAAATTAATCTGCACTTACCTTTGAAAACTTTTGTGGCTGGCATGAAGGAGACAAGAAAGAAGAGGGTTATAATGTAGGATGACTTTTACTATTACTAGTGAAATCACTGCTATTCACTCAATGGAATCCTTTTCTTTCTGTGCAACTTTAACAAAGAATCTATCCAATGACAATTGCTTTTGCCTCCTTTTGATGATTTTGCAGAAATGTGGCATTGCATTGCCCTTAAACAGATTCATTGCTTGCACTGCTAAAGCCTTATCTGGGTGGTGCTTCTGTATACAACTTTGTGCTGTTTTCCATGTTTTATACCTCTCCTTAATTTCATTTGAAGTACAGGATTCCTCCATCTTTTTCTCCTCCTCCTTTGAAGACCATGTCTTCTCCATAACCTCTCACTGTTGGGAGACAACTACCTACAATCCCGCAGTGAGGAGAAAGACACAGAGGGAGAAGAGGAGGGAAGGAAGGGAAGGGAGGTACAGAGAGAGGAGGGACGGGAGGACAGAGCCATTGGCTCAGTTGTAATCATATGATGTTGGGCTTTGCAAACTACTTTTATTGAATGACATCATTCATTTATCAAGTTCAACTTTATTAGAAATGTTTGTTCATCTTGTGAAACACTTCCAGAGCAAAGTACATGCAATCCAAGGTTTTACTGTATTAGCAGTGACTGGGGGCCATTCTATCCACTTTTTGTCTATATGGCAAAGCTTCACAATTACTTTTTCCCATGTTGTCAACTGGCCACCTCCTCAGAGACTTCATTGTCATTGCAGAGCCATCCAGTAACTGAGCAGAAGGAAAGACTGCATGGTATATGAAGTGCCTGAAGTCTG